GAAATGGTCCCTTTTCTAATTATGACCAGTTAACGTGACATGGTCTGCAATTTGACCACTCTAGAAAATACCATAACATACCATAAAACTCTTTGTTGGCCACTCCAAAATTTTGCATAAGCATTATTTTCAGTTTCTCTTGGGGCCATTTTAACTCCCAAGAGAAACTAAAGACAATGCTTATGCAAAATGTTGGAGTGACTAATTAAGAGTATTATGGTATGTTATGGTATTTTCTGGAGTGGTCAATAGCTGATGATTGATTGCTACTTGTAATGGCTTTGAATTGTTCAGTTTTCGTGTCATGCAATCTAAGTTTAGTTTTTCCTATGTAGAAATCTTTGCAGACCCACCAATTAGCCTTATAAACTACCCTGGACATTTGAGCGCGGGTGAGCTAGTCTTTGTAGAGACGGAAAAAGAAATACGATGATTGTTCGGCTGGACTTTATCTTTGAGAGCGTCATCTGGACAAATCAACCATCCACGCATCAGAGACCCATTTCACCTTGGAGGACAAGAATCACCGAACATGCGCCAGTGGTTAACAAGCGGACACGGTTCGTACTAATAGCAGTCCATATAAGGTAGGGGTTGCTTAAATGGTGCAGCGTCTGCTTTACCAGCTGTTGTCTTCTAAGTCACAACAGGGTTTAGAAGAAGTATGTAATAGCAATGTCATCGTAGGCGCAAGCTCTCACCGTGCGTGTACAGTTTTTTGCAAACATTGTGCCATATTTATCAGCCCAAGGTTAGCAACACAACGAATAACCGAACACCGACACCGAACATGCGCCAGTGGTTAACAAGCGGACACGGTTCGTATTAATAGCAGCCCATATAAGGTAGGGGTTGCCTTAAATGGTGCAGCGTCTGCTTTACCAGCTGTTGTCTTCTAAGTCACAACAGGGTTTAGAAGAAGTATGTAATAGCAATGTCATCGTAGGCGCAAGCTCTCACCGTGCTTGTACAATTTTTTGCAAACATTATACCATATTTATCAGCCCAAAATTAACAACACAACGAATAACCAGGATAGTTGATTTTTTCTCCTTCTAGTGTAGTTAATCTACATTCGGTTCCGTTTTTTATTCGGTGTCGGGTCTTTCTATTCGGCTTTCGATCTGACTACGAAATCGGCTTCAGACGATCTCATTTAGCGTGATGTCGACAATATTGAACCTGTGCCCACGGTCTAGTAAATTCTGAAGTGTCTTATTCGACGTGTCGAGTGTTAAGGACACATGGACGCTCTTCGCTTTTCTTGGACCCTATCCTCTCCACCCGGCTAGAGAGCCTTTCTTTCGCTTGCTTGATTTTGGCGTACATGACTGACTCTGCATGAATAGAATGAGATTTTTGTTGAGTTGAGCATGCGCTGCATGTTGCTAGGATAATGTCGAATCCACGCTTAATAACCGGATACTTACCACAGCGGGCTCAGTTATGACCTTCCCTTTTTGAAACGGATGCTCGCACTAGAAAACAAAAATCAGTTTGAAGAAAGACCACAAGATTGACTAGTCTAGAAGTTCGGGGCTGCGATTCAGACAGAGCCTCCTGTTCTCCTTCTCACTCAAGAAGTCGAAAGGAAGCTTTACTCGAGTGGTACCCCTGAGCTTATCATGTAGGGTATCACACAACTGCAGACGTCGTAGCTCACGGAAAGTACCCTAAAATGTCTTCTTATTGCTGTCTGCAATAATTTTTTCTTGTTTATACAATCCAAACCTTATTTGGTAAGACAATCACTCTGCCTTTTAGTTAAAATTGGTTTATTGACAATTGGCGTCAAGTTAAGTCAATACATCATTTTGTGAGGAAAGCTGCCTAAAAGCTATCCGCCTTAAAAGATAAAATGTCCCATATAAATAAAACACGGAGAGGGAAAATTTTCCGCACTTTTGATCGATCGTTTCAGCTATTACAGTGTAACTCCTGCAGACTAACGCTTCATCGTTGATTCTACATTTTTGAAGTGAATTAAAAACAAGCGACCGTTTCAAAACTCCCGTAAGGATAACTATTGTTAATGTGAGTATGGAAACCTTTTTGAATACATTTATGTTGTGTTTGCGAGCAACTGCTAAGGAGTATTTATAATGTTTTTCTATTCAATGTTTTTTCTTTGCCAAAATTTGTAAATTAACCCTTTCTTATTCAGCCGTTTCTCTACCAACTGAATATATATAAAGCAAGGGATAAATATTGTTATAAAAAGGGTTTTCCGACTCTTTAGAGCTAAAATCACCTGCTCCTTAGCCGGCTTTGCCGACATCTCAGAACAAACTGTTTATTAAAAGTTCAGCCCAGGATGAAGAGAGTTAAAATTGGAATTGTGCTCATTGTGTACTTATTAGATTAAGTATTAATAACAAAATTAAACTTTTCTCCGGAGAGATATTCATTTTTAGAACAGCACTGCCTTTTTTTTCCGTAACAATTTTTTTGGTTAATAAGTCTTTTTAGTAATAATACTACATCCTCAGTTTTCGAATTAATTGTTTTAATCACAACTCGATCAGGNATATTCATTTTTAGAACAGCACTGCCTTTTTTTTCCGTAACAATTTTTTTGGTTAATAAGTCTTTTTAGTAATAATACTACATCCTCAGTTTTCGAATTAATTGTTTTAATCACAACTCGATCAGGCATCCAAAATGTAAATCTACTAAAACTAGCAACTTGATTGAAAGCGTTCTAAAGGCACGAATTGCCGCAAGTCATTCTTTTTACACGTCTTTTTATATCCCTTCTGTATTGCAAAAGTCGAATTTATTTAATATTACCATAATTTATCAGTACTTGGAGAGTCAATATTGGAAATGACAAATAGTCATCAAAACTTATCATGTTTCGGTAATAAGGATAACCAAAAACGGTATTGAATTTTTTAAAACATCCTAAAAAGTAATGTCCAAACGGTATTATAGAAGACCCGTTCTCCACTTATTAAAGTTTTAACCTGTCAGGTGTCAGCAAGATACACGGAGATAAGAAAAATAAAGGACAGCAATTTGCTTATTGAGTGGCTAACGTCACTACCATATTAAATTAGACTCATCAAAAATAAATGAAACTCAAAGGAGGAAAATTCTCTTCAATCATTCCAGGTACTTTCTCTAGTCATAAACAATGAAAGTTTTGAAAACAAGGCTGGGAGCTGTTCTCAGTAGGATAATTTGTGGTGAGTATCATAGATGATTTTTGCACACCAATGAAATACCAGGTGAGCTTTCGCGCGAAAACAGGATATCTTCACACGTGGAAATAACATGTTATTTTCACATGTGAAAATATCACCGTTGCTATGGCTACATAATAAATTGCGCCTTTCGCAGGAAAAAACTGTTTCAGTGAAATGGTATGGTATTTCATTGGTGTTTATATAATAAACAGAACATAACATGGCCGCTTGAAGATACGAAATTTCTCTTCTTGTGTTGAAAATATTTCACTCGTTCGCCGCGCTCACTCGTGAAATATTTTTCAACACTCGAAGAGAAATTTCGTATCTCCGCGCGGCCATGTAATATGCTATATTTATTTCATGTTCTTTTTGCTGTTAAACGTAGCTGAAATACCACAACTTTCTCTTCTTAGTATTTGTGCGACGAGGTATAACTTATGAAGATTGATCTTGAAAAGAATAACTTGCAGAGGGAAATAGGTAGTTCTTATGGTAATATTTCACTGCGATAAATGGTATTTTAACAAGACCGCAATTCTTTAACGATCTCCAAGCCTAACAGAAAACCAGTCCGTATACTCAAAATGACCACAAGTGCTTATTCACTGCAAATGTGGCTCCTTAAAATAGTGAAGAAGCTGGAAAAATTATCATAAAGGTCTCAGCGAATTTTGTAAACGACAGATGGTGGTCTGCAAATGCTGTTTCAGTTGCTAAGAATTTCAAAAAACGATAGCAAAATATATTTTTTATTAATATTCTACTTTTTAGCACATTTGTGTCTGTCCAATGATGAGAATATAAATTTAAATGATATATTCTTTAATTTCGGTTGCCTTCCTCGTTTTTTAATACGCTAATAAGATGTTCAGCAGGCGTCTTTAGTCTCATAAGTCGTACTTGCTGATAATTAACTTGACATATGGTTCTATGCCTTTTCAGAAGAGGAGACTTACGACGTAATCGTACGAAATTGTTTTACTTATTTTTTGTTTTACTCTCTAGTCCTCTCTGTCTCCAATGTAGCAACAAATGGTAAGTTTTACTCTCTGTCGTAAAAGTGCTGCTGAGCGGAAATACATCTTTAAGAGAGGTGACAATTATCTCATGGATCACAAATTTGAAATTCTGCACAGGTCAGAATAAAAAAAATAAGGCCATAAAAGCTTAGTTCTAAAAATTTTGTCTAGCCGTCAAAAGAATTTTATCTATCGCTATAAAGTTGCCTCCAGTTGTTACGTGTTCAATTTAAACTATCCAAAAACTGGTTGATTGATGTACTTTCAGACCAACCCCACTTTCTTTCCTCTAGACAGGTTTAAGGGTGTACAAATTTTAATTTTTTTTAAAGTATAAAAATCTATGAACTTAATCGTTTAATTTCTATTTAGTTTTCCTTTAGAATTAAGACAACTTTTTCTCTTTTGGTGTCAGTCCTCATGCGTCTAACTACTGTATAGCAGCCTCATAAAAGCCTGAGTAATTAGAAAAAGTTGTACAAAGACAAAAAATGTCTATTTTTACACAGGGACACCGTGCTTTCTTTATGAGACCATGAAAGGGCGAGAGCTTAAAGGAGAAAACTGTGCACAGTTTGTTTATGGAACCCAACAACATTATAATTTCACGATACAGTGCCTTTGCAAAAGAAAAATTTGCACCAAGGAACTGTGCAACCATCTTGCTACATGCTTTAATGAAAGTGAAAGATGGGGATTTGCTTGTTATAAGGGGTTGTCGAGCCAGCTGCAATTTCATATCTCTACTTCTGTAGAACGTGGTAATGCATCTTTTGTGTGGAGTATCCATATGAAATACAGTGAATGTTTGAAAAGAATATCCATAAAGACGACCAAATATTTCTGCGGAACGACCAAAGCATTAACTGGTAAGTAGACTATTGCGAAGTTCATCTAAGTATAAATTAGTATGGTTTATGGGCCCATTATCCTATCTTTTGAGGCCGTTGCTAGGGAAAAGTCGTCAAGGTATAACTAACATAACGACGCGTATATGTGACGAAATTTGGACAGTGGTCCCTAAGTGACCTGTCGGTAATGATTGTGACGTCATCAGGACACGCCTATTGTCATGTGACCCAATATGGAAATTTGCATTTTTACTGAAAACGTACCTTCCGACTCAAATTATTTAACAAATATTGAATGAGGCTAAGTATCATCTGAAGAATTATGGAGATCGACTTCAGATGATACGAAAGCCGAATTCAATAATTGATTTATTATTTATTCCAAATAATGTGACGTTTAAAATAGCTAAAAGATGTCTACCTCCATCGATGTCAAGTTCATCTTCGATAGTGCATGTTAATCGGCAAGTTTAGGAGATTAAGGGATGTTCAGTTCCACAAACATTCTCCAAATAGCAGATTCTCTCGCTGTTCTGGCTATGTTTTTAGCAAATAGCTCACCTATTAATTCCTCGTGAAACGAATGAAATGTTCCCCCATTTTTTTACTCATTACCAAACCAACTCAACCTCGTCCCCAGGTTTTCTCGGGTAACGGTTCGATAATCTGGCAGTTTTCTGCACGATTGACGTTATTTTTTCTCATATCGCAAAATTCTTTCAAATTTGGTCAACAAGAGCTGGTTGAGAAATATTTTGAATGAATAATGTTTATATTATTCACGCTCACGTCAAAGGCCATTTTATGTATGCCCATAAATTATATTAGAATATAATTATATCAAATTCAAGCTAGAATGTATTATTAGCGGAGCTCCACCCGCGCGCGAAGCGCGCGCGTGGACGGAGCCCCATAGCTAAGGAAATGTGGTAATCTACCCATCCGAGAAAATTTGGTAATCACGTGACCATACGCCCGACCGTCCGTCCACACCACAGGGAAACCAATGTTTACTCTCACACTTTCTAGCTAGTTTGGTAGCCCAATAGAAAACTAATTGCACATCAATGTTGTGATCAGCTGTCAAAACAGGATATCCGCTGACCAGTATCACCTGACCGTAGCGCGGGCTCAAGTGTCGACCCATCGAGGTCGAGTATCTTTTTGAAGTTATCCGCTGACAAGTTACTAGTTTTCAAATGATTGCAGGCTCAAGTTTAATTTTTCAATTCATATGAATTATGTTGTGTTTATGTCACTATGGCCTCGCACTGTCAAGATTTTGATTTCAAACTGACCTTGGACGTGAAAAATCAGCCACTTTTTTAAAAATAAAGGCGGGGAAGACCTTTTCTTACCATGGTCACGCGTTGGTCACGCTCTACGTCCAATTTTTGTACTCTGATTGGTCAAAATTTGACAGGTGAGTTCATGCTAAAAATTTATGCAGCATCTTGAAAGTTGTTTACTTTGACAGCTAAAGCGGACAGAGTTTTGTGTCAACTTGTGATGTTTTTAACTGTCTTTTTCCACTGGATGTACAAAATGAAATGTAGCTGCTAGCAAGAGTCTTCTGTTATCCATGGCTGGTTTGTTTATTGGGTTTTTCGCTTGTCAAAATTGGGTAATCCGATTTCGGATGGCATCGTTTTCGTCTTTCACCTTGCTCAAAGCGTAAGAGGGTTTAAAAGTCTCAAGCAACTATGGCCTTCCTTGATATCTTTCTATCAGGAACTGAATCTCGAATGGTAAGCCTGAGTAATTATTGTATTTGATGTTTGTTTTTGTTATATCTAATTTCATGAAGTCGAGCACAGTTTATGCGGCAAGTTTTTGCACGTTTGTTAAAGATTTGAGTCAATGATCTGATCTAGTATCAGGTTTGATATAAGCTTACAGAACTTTAAAAGGCCTTCAGATATATTTTCTCAGGGCATATAGAAAAAAAACAAATATTTAGTTATAAATTTGGCTGTAGAAAGAAAACTTTGAGTGATTTTCTTGCTGAAAGTAAAACAAAATAAACTTAAGCTTAAGCTTTAAGCTTAAACACTCAGCATTTTTAGAGACACTTTAATACTTGTCTTTGTGAATGAAAATTGTTGTCTCTGTAAGTGTTTTACCAAATTATATTTCTTTTATTGATTGTTAGTAGTCTTTCTTGCAATTTTAATCGCTTGTACGTGGTGTTTGTTTTCATCGTTCATGAACATCGCTTGCAGGAGTACTTAGAAATGTCGCGCGTATCAAACGCTTTATAAGATTACACATCGTTATCACTGGAACCATTAAATAACAAAAAATAATGATAATAAATTCGTTATATGTTGAAGCGTATCTCCATTAAAGTTCATTCAAACACTCGACCACACTGACAGCTCGCACTAAAAATGAGAGCCGGCTGGACGTATGGGTGATTTTGGAAATTTTTTGAACAGTTTCGCTAAAAGCCCACGATTGATCGTCCGGCCTGAACATTTAAAAATTGTGAAATGCCGTATTCTGTCCGAGGTCTGTATGATAAAAAGTACTGTTTCACCTCAGATGTGATGTATAAAAAGTATAAAAGGTTGGTTTACACAGAAAAATGCGGCCTGATTTGTTTTCCAAGAATTTATTTTCGAGGCCTAATCTACTGTGATCAAGAGCCATTATGGCTCTTGAATGTGATAGAAGATGTTTGCTATTTTTTGGGTGCACATACATGTATATTTAGGCTATCAACTCGATGCATATGTAAGATGTTTCACTCTAAAATAACTTATCCTTTCCCTCAAAAGTCACATGAATGTGCCCTTAAGTTAACTATTTTGTGGATTACAAGTTTATTGTTTGATATAAAATATAAATTTATTAATGGGAGCTTCGCTTTTAGCCCTGGCTAAATCTATATATTAGCGGTGAAGATTACACTTGGCATATAATAATTACGCAGAACTAGCAGAGCGATCTCTTCGCAAGCTCGTAGCGGTACCAATGCAATTTTCTTAAATTATACAAGTTTTCCAAAAAAGCAAGTAAACATTACTTGCAATGCTGGCATAAATTAACAATTCAATTTACCCTAATTTATGTTCAATGAAATCCTCCTGTTCTGAATGAAAAAGAAACGAAAAGGTGTCAGTCTTGACAAGCCTTAGTGCAAGGAATCAAAACAACATGTAATATAGAAAAATAAACTGTAAAACCTAAATGTAACCTCGTGGGCATAATCAGTCAATCAACTAAAAATCTATGATTGTTATGTAATTAAATTAAAGAGCAAAAGCTTTCAAGTTGACCATTTGGCGAAAATACTATAAAGCTCAATATGCTTCACTTTCGCAAACAGCAGAAGACTTTTCTCTAGACAATCAAGCCGGTTTATAATTATACCCTTCTGTTATTCTTTCACTGGAATTATTCAGTAAAATTCCCCCACGGCTGGCTGTCCAAAAACGCTCGAAATACGAAAACCGGAAGTAAATTTCCACTTGCATAGTAACCGGGTTACCTAGCAACAACATAGGATAACTGGGATCCTCAATATCATTTTGCGAAAGAGTTCTTCTTGAATCAAGAAAGCGTAGCTATTTTCACCGTCTGGAGCAAACGAATTCACACAATTGCGTGGCCGAGTGGCCAACAGGGCTTATTTGAAATGGGGGAAGCTTGCATGGCCGAGTGTGGTTAGTGAGTCGAACTGTCAATCCGAAATATCGGATTTGAGCCCTTCTCTGACCACTCGTCGGATTTGCATTGCTTCTCGGTAGTCTCTTATTCTGCTCTTTGGCCATTTTTATACATAGCCAACCGGTTTATTTACTTATGCTTTACTTTAAAACAAAGCACTTATATTTTCATTTTCCCCATTCCGAGTTAAAGGGGTTTAGGTCACGAGTATATTACCATTTGATATCAGTTCTGTGTTAAAGTCATTACTTGGTGCCTTTACCCATACACAAAATGCTCCTGTAGATATGAAACAAATTTCATCAGGGAACAATAGTCAAATAATCTAAGTTTCAATCCATGTCCATCCTTGCCATTCATTTCAACAGAAAAAAAGATACAGTTTCAATGCCTAAATATAGTTTTAAATAACAAAACTAGACAATTGTTTTTGAAATCGGTTGATGCTAAGACAATTTATTATCCCTGTAAATTCATTGCTCCTGACGGTCAGGGCAAAATGAATCTCCTATTGGATGGAACCTTAGTCGGTTATAGGGATATCTGCGGCAATAACGCAGTCGTGCCTACTAATATACGTGGGTTCAGAAAGATCATTGGTGGCGTGAGGAAAAAGTTTCTTGCCTTAATTGGAAACAATAAAATACTAACCAAAGCTGACGAGAGCAGCGACAATTTTTTGTAATGTTTTTTATTCTCCCTTCGAGAAGCTTGAGGAGCCATTATGTTAACCTTGTTTCTGATATTTTCGTTGTAGTGGAATCACCATGTGCACAAAATAGGCAAGGGATCCAACCAACGTGTGATAAACTGGTTCAGGGAACAAACGGACTTTGGTTAGCACCTTTGACTAAATCAGATTTTTGCCTTAAAGTTAAAGAATGTTTTCACTCGGAAGTAAGGTGCTATAATACCTTTACGCTGTACTATAACCTTCTCCGATATCATGTGTTCCCACTCGAGAATGGAACTACTCATTTTCAAATAACCTATAAGAAGCTGTGCGGTCGGAAAAGCAAATTCTTTACCAACGTTATTCGGTGCGAGTCCATTGCTACAAGCGGTGAGAGCGGTAAGCATATATTTTGAAATAATAAATTAAAATGTCAGGGTATTTAATGCAAAGTACTAATTAAGGAGAATATTTTACGGTACGCTCATTTCCCGAGATGGCACCACCATTTCTACGTAGCCAAATGCGCCGCCCGTGTCTAGTCAGCTGCAGAATAAAGGCAGTACAGCGGAAGGACTAACTGACAGTAGGTAGAGCACTTGAACGCAGAGCATTAGTTCCCGGGTGAAATCCTTGGGGCCAGGCCAATAATCAGGGTCATATATAATATTAACTCAAGATAACTGAGAATTGAAGGTACTTTGATTACCCTGCAAATAGTGGGCGTTCTTGTGGCCCGGATGACCATGTAAAAATGGCGGTCTTGTTCCCGTCTCAGTAGGAGACGTAAAAATATTGTTTTCATTTTGTACTTTTCTGTTAAATACATTAACATTCAAGTATTAAAGCGAGGTTTGCCACTTTTTAGTTTCTTTAAGACTCTAGGCATCGGTTGCAGCCCTGGATCAAAAGGCTACGATCTTCCTCTCTCTGCATACATTAGGGTGTATTCCTATACAGACAGTTAATATGGACTTCAGGCTAGATGATGCCAGGAATCATCATCAACTGAACACAGTCTGAACTGAACATAAGCTTTGAGACAAATTGTAGAAAATAAAATTGCGGCAAAATTAACCTCAAACCCTGGGTTAACCCTTAGTCAATGAGAGTTACTGCTAAGAAAGGTGAAACATTTATAGGAAAATCCTTTTTTTTTTCGTAGAGGTCCAATCAGAATACATCGATGGCGACGAAGCAAATGATGAAGACTTGAACAAAGAGGTAGATAAACATGTTTCAAATGAGGTTTACATCCGATTCATTCGTTTGTGTCATAACGAAGTATGTAATTAATCTATTCATAAAATGAAAACTTCGGAAATACAAATTTAAATGAAGATACGATTGTCGCAGTGGTAATAGCAATTTAAGCAATTGCAAATTAACCAAAAAAAAAATTGGGGACTCCAACGAGATTGAAACCCATGACCTCTGCTTTAACGCTGAAGTGCTCTATTAACTTAGCTATGAAGAACCATACATTTGGGAGCAGGCCAAGCAGGTTTATGAACTCAGGAAATTAGCCTGCTCTCACAAACGGCTGCGACCACTTTTAAAACCAGAAATTTGACATATTCCTTTGTTTTCCGTTCCCCCTAAGCGACCACCCGGAATTATCACGTGTGGCTGAAAGAAAACCATTGGTCGAATGTTTCTGAAGCTCCCGTAAGCTACCACCTCCTGTTGTTTTACCACGTGGTCGCTTACGAGCTCATTCCAGTAAGCGACCAGCTCTAGTTACGACCACTTTTTTGAATTTCCGACGTGGTCGCTTACGAGAGCTTCGACTGTCTTCATTTCTCATTTGTGAATTGCAATTTTTAAATTTCTTAAATTTTAACTGTAAATTTTCGTTTGACGACGTACAATCGAACTTCCATTTGCGACCACCTCTGGTAAGCGACCACTTCCCAATAAGCGACCACTTATCTAAAACACCAAGTTTTTTTTTAGACAAAGCCTTATTTATTCTTATAAATGTTGAATCATTGTCTGATGAGTTTTTTCTTCGACTTCTCCTCATTCAAAGGCAAGCACACGAGAACTGTGACGGCCTGAATTTTAATGAAGTAGGCAAAGTCGTTCAGTCACATGAACAGTTTATGGCAGCACAGGGAAGAAACTGAATTGCCCAAACTTTTTATCATCTTTATCACAACTGAAGTAATCGCTTTAACTGCTCATGTAAGAATTGTAACGATAAGCTGCTGCTCATCAGAGATATTAGAGAATAAAATACCTTAATTTAACGAAAAAAAAACTAGGAAATGATGACCCAGTTTGAGAGGGGCTTAGAGGGAGACATTGAATCGAAGACCGGAAATAAGTTATAGTGCTTTAAGTCTTGTACACCTAGATTATTTGTCAGTGGATTTAAGTTCCAAGTGGAGTTTCTGTTTGTTGAACTGGCATCGTAAAGTTGGCTAATTTATTAATGTGCTTAAAACAGGCAAAATGGCAATTTTTACAAAGGGGGCATGTATCTCGCAGGGAATTAAACATTTTTACCTGATATGTTGTTACATAAGTCAACTTACAGTACCTAACATTTGTGCCAAGTTTAAGCGAAATCGGTGATTTGAGCATTATGACCCCTGCCTGGTTCTTCCTGGTTTTCTCATGGACACACTCTTAAATGCAATTACCACTGCTCGATACTTGAGCACAAAACTGCAAATTTTTGAGATCAATCAATTTTCTGGTAAGCCATCTCACATCCCTGAGGGGGCGTTAATGAATGTGATAATGATGATGATGACGATGATGATGATGATGGTGATGATGATGATGATGATGTTGATGTTGATGATTTTTCACTTGCTATTTTATAGATGTTAAAAGCCCTTTGCGCACGGGACGTCAAAAATAAAACCGCTCTGGAGGTAAAATACTATGTTGACTTTGGTCTCATTTGATTTAACATAAAAGCACGGGACGTATATCAAACGCAACCAGCTGTCAAAAGTAATCTTTGGACCACTTTAGTTAAGTAAAACTACGCTTCTTCAGGGATATAGAACCGAATGAATTGAACCAAGCTTTTATCCGTTTCGTGTGTTTGCTAAGATAAGGGATTGTTCACGATCTACCCTTTTCAGGATTGTGATAAGTGATGCATTTTGGTTTGATTTTATCAACAGAAGTTCGCAATAATAGATGACAGTCACTACGATCGGAATTCTTGCGTTTCATGATTTTGACCAGCTCACAACCAATATGTTTTGCTTTATATTTGCTGGTTCCTAACTTACTAGATATTATTGAACTTTAAATGTGGTTCCAATACAAATATGTTTTAGCCCTTAGAACTACAGGGAGGAACGAGTGGGTTAGGGTCATCTCAGATTTTTTTCATGCGAGTTTGAACCAGAACTTCTTAGCAGACCAAGATGGCGGTCATTTTGAGTGACGTCACAGGTGCCATGGAACACCATAGAGCGTATTCACATGACTTCACGGCAGCCATATTGGTGTTCCAAACAAATGCTGGGGAAGTTGGACTCTTTTCTTATGTAAATTTCTTTTGTTCCCATAATTTTGTATAGACGCTGGTCACGTGCGTGAATACGCTCTATACAAAAAATGACAACCTTGTGGAGCTGGACACGGATATATTGATTGCATTTTTACCCTCCCCCTGGTAATTGCGGGGAGGGGGGGAGGGGTTGACACTACGCCCAAGTGCTAGTACAAGTAGGAACTTTAGTCTGAACTTCAGTTCACATATTTTGTTGTGTTTCTTTCGCTCAAAGAAAACAAAAACAAGACCTGAACAAAAAAAACCAAAATATATGTTGTAGTTTATTTGAATCCTTAGCGCAAGTTTATATTCGACATAACCATGCAAAAAAAAAAAAAAAAAAAACCAGAAAAGAAAAAAATTAAACCAAAGAAGGAAAAAAAAAAAAAAGAGAAATTGGAAAAAAAAAAAAAAAACAGACCTTGAAAGTATTATATAGGAGGGTTAAATTCGTATAAAAAATTAGAAAAAACAAGAAAAAAAAAAAAAAAAAAAACACCTGATAAGAAAGAAATTGAACCAAGGTTGGAATTGACTATCATCGTTTACTTGGTTATAGTCTGCTACAACAGACCTTGAAAGTATAATCAAGAAGGGTGAAAATCGCACAAACATTTCTGATAGAAGACGGAATAAAAGTAGGGAGCGAACTATTCAAGAAGTATTCCTGGCAACTGTGGCTTTTGAGGCATTTGCAGTATCATTTGCTCAGCATCATCTCAACCGAACAGCTTTCTTTTTAAACCTGACAAGTGACCATGTTGGTAAGTCTACAAATCACTTGCATTTCTATTATTGACAAAAGTAAGCTTGCTTGTTGTACTTCTATTTGTTTTTAAAATTCGCTGGGGAAAACACTATATGAAAAGTGTTGCATTCGACGCTAATCTGATCACGTAATTATACACTTCTAAGTATACGAATACTTGATCAGGAAACAGCACCGATGAGTTATTTTAATTACTTGATCAGATTAGCGTTGAATGCAACTGTTTTCATAATAGCAAGCGCGTAATTGATGATTGCGGTGGGAAATTTTGTAAACTTGAGAGGAGGTACATTATATACTATATTAGGTCGGTTCCCGTTTGTGTACCCTTAGGATACTTAAAAGGAAAAATCAGGTCCTCAGAGCACCTTAGCCCGGCTAAGAGCACCTTTAAAGTCCGAGTGTCAGATTCGGAGATGATGCAGAAGACAAACCAAACGACAGCTGCTCAAATCATCAACATGCAACATCGAGGAAGAGATACTTAGAGCATCGTTATATCTGACACAGCCAAACAGTAGTAACAGTAACAAAACCAAGCTTAAAGATGTTGATTAGTCAGGGGCACCCAACGACGGTTTCGTCCTAAATACATTGAAAACACTATTTAAGCTATCCAGAGTACTTTTAGATCTTTGGAAAGACATTCTAGTCGGCGCCAAAAAATTGATACCTGTTCGGTCATCCTAGGGCACTTAGTTTTTTTTCGAAATTACCAGGGCTTCTAATCAGTATTATTTCCCCGAAAATTTTAGGTTTCCTTTTTCTGCAAAAAATAGCATAATCTGGGGAGTGAAATGCGAAACTATACAATTGTACATGAATGGAACGGTCATCTAGAAAATTCTTAGCCTCCCTCAAGGTATAGAAAATTGTAAGCAATTTTTACTTCTCCGGACAGGTATGTTACAGAACAATTTCGTTGGGTACCCTTGATTAGTTATCCCCCATAGGTTCGTCCAATCAGGGGGCGGTTCAGGGAGACTCGAATTTTTATTGTGGTGGACTCTAAACGGAAATTGTTGTCCAAAAATGTCTTCAATTTGATTCCCAAGGAGATGCCTTGAGGACGCCGTTTTTGCATTAAAAATGGTTATTGTTGTTGCATATTCCTTATCTTTTTTGTTTTTAAAAAAATGATCGGCTACAGTCTCTTAATGCTCGTCGTAGATTTCAGTAAGTCCCTATTTAGATCCACTGTTCTTGAATTAAACTAAAAGCGAAATCAGCGTTCTAAAGTTGACGTTCTAAGAGAAATTCCTTTACAGAACTACAGATCAGGAAACGCTTCGACGACAATGAAAGCGACTTTTATTTCGAAGAGTCTCAAGGGCGGAGCTACATAAAGATTCCTTCAGAAGTATCTGCAAATGGTATAAAAAAAAAATTAAACATAAATCACAAGACAGTCAGTCTCAGTAGTGATGCGCTGGGATTCTTGGGTTGGTTAAATAAAAATCCTTTAACTCAATTAAAATTAGTCGCAAAGCGTAAAGAAATAGAACTTACGAGCGCCATTTTGAATGAATTATTTTATCCACTATTATTGTACGCCCAGGGAGTGAAAAGGCGCACGTAAGGATTAAATTTATTTAAGTTTCTCTAATATGGGCCATTCTCGTTCAATTCAAGTAAAGTTTGTTAGCGATGAGGAATTGCAATATTTGTGTTGATTTGAGTAATAAGAGTTGAGTTTAGATCATTCTTTGGAGAGACCCACACGATCACACACGGTCGTTATCGAACAGAAATGGTCTGAATGGATCACCGTTGCTGCAACCTATCTCGAGTCCATTGCGTTCTATTGAGATCATGCTTTACTGTTAGCGTCATAATTTTGTAAGTGGAAATATTACTTCAACAAAAGAAAATAAATATTAAAATATTTGAAAATGAAGGGTAACTTTGAGACGATGGGTCTACTTTGCTTACTATTTGCGTGCTAGTTAAGTGTTTACTGGTCGGTCATTCGGTAATACGTTTGTTTCGTATTGTTTAGGCTCAGTGCTGCTAGGAGTTGTGTACAAAAATATCCACAAACTCTTTCCCACAAATAAACTCAAGGCGAACACAGCTTATGAGGAAAGGTTAGCCAGGCATTCATACCAATTATTTATATTTGTTTACTTTATTTCGTTGATTTTTTTGTTAAACTAGCTTTAGTTATTTGACGTAATGCCTTTACACAGCCTGTTATCAAGCCTTTCCTTTATATTGATCATAACCACCACTACCATCATCATCATCATCATCATCAGCAGCAGTAGCAGCATTACCATCATCATCACCAACACCAGCATCATCATCATCATCATCATCATCATCATTATCATCATCATCAACATCAGCATCAGCATCAGTATCAACATCAACATTAGCATCATTGTAATCATTATCACACAGCGTTTACAGATGTTAAGAACCTCGAGAACTGGGCAGCCAACAATAGGATGTCTTTGATTTTATCATAAACATGAGAAATGCTGTTGCATCGCAGAACTTCTAAGCCTGCTCCTCCTCCAGTTCCTGGGATTGGGGGAAAAGATTGGGTGAAATTCTTGGGAATTACTTTCCACAAAGATCTTTGTAATTGGGATGTTCATATTGACAGCTTCCTTTCTAGAGCTGTTAGCCGTCAGTATATTCTTAGAGTATGCAAGTATTATGGGTACACTAAAGACCAGCTTAGTGCACTATTCAAGTCCTTGAAAATGTCATTATTTCAGTATGGATTAGAAGTATGGGGATCTGCCTCTCAAAGCACATTTTTAGATCTGATTGACAACTTCGTAAGGCGTTCCTATCGTTTTGGCAATACAAATAAGATCTCTTTGATGTCTGATGTGATAAAGAGTAGGGACTGCCACAGTGATCTGTTCAACAGAATCACTAGTTACAAAGGTCACGTATTGTATGACTTGTTTCGTAATAAACGCAATACGGCCTTTAAAGATAGGGGCCACGACTTCATACTTCCTAGAGTGAAAACCGAACGTTTTAATCGGGCTTTTGTAAATAGATGCCTTTTTAGAAATATTTCTTGATATCCTTGTGTAACCTAATTTTTGTCATTTTGTGAAAAATATATTTATTACTGATTGTAAAGCCACACGTATGTTGTGTCTGATGTTTTTTGCCTAACCACACCTGGTTTCATGCACCTGTGCATAGCCTTGAGTCGTGGTAGAATCACCATTGTTGTTTGAGTGTCAAATAAATTTCCAAGCTTTCGCTGAAATGGTATTTAATCTATCCAAAACGTAATTGATGTCCGCTATTTAACCAAACCCATACAGTGATTCTCTGTTACAAGTTTATTTTATTTTTTTTCCAGAAGACTGAACACCATCATAATGTCAGGAACAATTGATCCGCCGCCTGATTATTTGCGGAAAAATGTGACTTTGGCGTTCTCAAACTTAAAGGTGACCTTTAAGTTTTTCTCTCTTTAACGATACTACAAAACCATTGGTTAACCCTTTAATACTTGACATTTTGTGTCATCACGCGGGCGTATAGCCGTGGGTATTATTGACAATCTTTTCCATCTTCCTTATTCGAAGTTCCCAGTTGAAACTTTCAACAATAAATAGTCTTGCAGCTATGTTGTTTAATCCTTTCTTTATTTGGCTTAATCAACAACCGTTATCCATGGTCTGTACTCTTACTGGCCGTAGAAATGACGTCATGATGTTCAAATCAATGCAAAGTTTTGACTATTTTGTCATCATTTCTACGGTCGATAAGAGCACAAACCATGGGAAATTGTTATCCACTTGTTTTTTTTATTATAACATTGACAGTTTTGACGTCCATTTCCGTTGAAGTGTCCGGCTCTGAAATTCGCGCGCACGATAAAGAGAACAACAAATTGCGCCACTATCACGTCATTTCCATCGTCTGTACTCTTACCGAATATAGCTCTCGAGCAACTAGCGTAAGAATTTCGTTCAGCTATGGTAAAAATAATTATTTTAAGTTTTAGAGAATGCATGAGATCTTTCTATATCATTTTAGGAGGTAACTGGGAAAAGAGTATGTGCCTTTTGGAACTTAAACCTGTATTATAGGTATGTATGCCCAGAGTCACTTGCTCGAATTCAAGGTCTTAGCTGTGGAACACCTCAACATCCGGCAGTCAATACAACCTTCTTTCATTCAGCTCAGTCTAAAACTTCCGAGTTAGTTTTGTAAACTGCAAACTTGCGTTACTAAGCTTTAGTCGTAACTTCATATTTTGCACGCATTATCCCGCCTCGGATAGCCTTGGTATCTGCGGGCATTGCTTTTGTTATATTATCTGTTTATTATTGAAGTTTGTTGTTGTTGTTATTTTTCTTTGCTCCACCCAACAAAATTTCTAAGATGTTAAGAGTATGACAGTATAAGAAAGAACTTTGGGAGTAATTGTCGGTGCTGAGGTAGTTAACGAGCTTAGCTTCAAATAATGTGCACATCAGGTCAATCGCCATGATGTCAGTTAAGATGCCAAAATAAATCTTAATTTGTGGAAAGTAACACAAAAGAGTTAAAGTTCTTTACTGATTCAATTAAATCTTTTTAGACATTCCTAACAAACTGTGGTTGACGTAGAAACGTATGTCAGTCGTAGAGAAAACTCTTTCACTTACATGTTTCCAGGATGCAGAAATTTGGTTTGTACCCATTTAAGCATTGAAGAGTTAAATTTGCATAAAGTCAGAGAGGGGTTTTTCAATTTGTCTGGCTTCAATAGAAAGAAAGCGATCCGCCCTTTGTGTACTGCCTGACAATCCATTCGTATTTGTAAGGGTAAAGAAATTCACCGTTTTCACATAGACCATAATGAAGCCTGTTTACCTGACAAAACTTTGCATAACTATTGTTTCGATTTCCCTTGGGACAACGGTATTACCCTAGAGAAAATGGAAACAATGGTAATGCAAAATTCTGGAGGGTAAACAAGGTGTATTATGGTCTGTGAAAGTAGTGAATAAGTCCTTTCAAAATAAAACAATTAGAATTAGGTAGAAGGGATTTTCAAAACTAAAGGGAAATGTACTTCTTTTCTGTTTTTTTTTTTAGCCCTATTGGGTGGTCGGGAAGTGGTTGTCAAGTAAAATGGATGAGCAATGACAAAACCGAATGCAGCTGCAATCACTTGACTCATTTTGCGGTTCTGATGCAGTTTGATTCGAGTTCTGCAGGGAGCAGTAAAATCAGAATAACTAAGGTAAGGCATTCGTAGAAAAAATTTGTAACATTGCCTGTTGAGTAACTCTCAACGCTGCTTCACCTTGTCACCTTCACACTTGTCACGTCAATTGCGTGAATCAGGAAATAGTGCATTTGCAATCCAGTCTTTTTACTACTCTCAACAAAAGTCGTTCCTCAGTAATATTTTTTTTATACTTTACTTGCCAAGTCTACCAGCCATAATTGCTTTGTGGTTCCATGTAAGGTAATCCAATACAGATCCACCTTGTGGGTTCCAGATTCCAGGGACTGGATTCCTGATGCTTTCTCATTGGAATCTGGATTCCAATTTCCAATCGTTGGCGGAATTCCGGATTCCTTTACCTGAATTCTGGATTCTGAAGCCCGGGATTCCAGATTCCTCAAGCAAAAATTTCCCGCATTTGGGAATCAGGAATACCTTACATCAGTGGGGCGAGCTGTCATTCCAATTCTTTGCATTAAAAGATTTTCTCTGTTCATTTATCCTATACAGGCAGATGAAAGGATACTGAACATTCTCACTTACGTTGGTCTGACGCTGTCCCTCATTGGAATAACATCGACAATAATCTGCTACGCTTTTCTTACGTACGTGTTAATCTTTAAAATTCCAGTAAAATCTGTTCATCTGTTATACTTCGTCGATTCATCAGTTCATTTTCATATTTGTTGAAACATTTGTCTTGAACAGGGAGCTTGCAACGCCATTATCCCAGATCAGGATAAGCCTCGTCACTTGTCTAGGAGCAGGACAAATTATCTTTCTTACTGGTATAAACGCGACCAAAAGCAAGGTATTGGCCGTATTCACACTAGAGGCGGATTATCCGTCTGAGACGGATAATCCTTCCTCAAACACAGGAAAAATTACAGATTGCCATTTTTGGATATTTTAGGGTATTTAAAGAATACCCATAAAAATCCCAAATTTGGCAAAGTGAGACAAGTCCCAACCAGGGAATTCCCAACCAAGTTCCCTGACTGGGACTTGTCTCACTCTTCCAACTCGTGATATTTCAAAATTGTCTCAAATTTCACTCGCCTAACGGCTCCTGGAATTACGTATAACAATTTTGAAATATCACTCGTGGTATTTATGCCAAATATCACTACAAATCATGCTATGACCTATACTAATACTGACACCCCGTTAATACGACCACTTTCTATGGCCCCCCCAAGTGTCCGTGTTAACGGGGTTTGACAGCATGTGAATATGAATATGTCCAACTTTGTTCCAGGGCGTCTGTGTAGCAGTAGCAGCTATGATTCAGTATTTCATCATGGCCGCTTTCTGTTGGATGCTGATCGAGGGAGTTTACCTTTACATGTTTGTTGTTAAAGTTTACAACGTGAGCAGCAAGATGAAAATTTGCCACGGAGTTTCGTGGGGTAGGTTTACTTTGTAGGTGGCAGTTTGGGCGTTTAGTAATTGAGCATTTTCAAGGTTTCGAGTCAATTCTGTACTAGGAGTCTGCTATATATGACTAAAACCTGGTTCTGATATGCCGCCGAGGTACCTGCGACAGTACTGCCTACAATACTACTCCAAAATAGTAGGATATATCGCCTCCAGTAACAAGAAACATCGCGGGCCTTTACCGCCGGCACGCTTGCGAAGTCGAAGTCGAGTCAACTTCGCAGGCATGCCGGCCGTAAAGACTGACATGGCATCTGTTGCCGGCGATTTCTGATCTCATATCGGAACGGTGTCGCGGGCAGTACCGGCAGCTATATCGCAGGTAGCTCGGCGGCTTATGAGAACCAGGCTTAAGAGTTTTCTGAACGCTCTGATTAAAGCAGCTATGTCACGCATGTATTAAATTTCTAACAATGGGAACTACTGCCACTAAATTAAGTGAAAATAAAAATAACCACTCAAACGTGAAAGGAAGGTATATATAAAATGGACAAACCTGGAGAAGATTGAAACAGATTGTAATTGTGGCTTTTAAAAACTTCTTAGCCTATAACTTTTTCAAAGTTCATTTTTGCCGTTTGGGAGAGATACATTTCTGACACGAAGGTGGAATTTTGTCATTCACGAGTAATTTCTCATAGCCTGCGAATGAGGATACCTACAAATTGTAGTTAGCATTATTAACAAAATGAACCAGACAGCCGCAGCACAGTCCCTTTCAAGCAGTACGCAAAATATCAAATTATGTTATTTGATATTTTTTATTTTGTATTTTACTTTCATACACAGGTATCCCTGCTGCAATGGTCGCGTTATCGCTGTTTATTGCAGCCAGAATGGACGGGATCAAAAGTTTTGTTCATGAAGAATAGTAAGAACTGCATTGGATATGTTGATTTATTTATTTAATCAATCAATTATCTATTTATTTACAAACTTCGCCAAGAGGCCTGGAACTCTCACGGAGCAAGCTCCACTCCACTCTATATCAGTCTGACTCTATATTATGGTTTGAAATACCACATTTCCTCGAATAATAGAAGGGGGCGATAATTTTCTTTTTCGCACCAAAAGGGGGCGATTATTCGAGGGAGGCGATTTTTTCAAATATTACTTGTCTTAGTAAGTATTTTGTTTTATTATCTCATTAAATCGAAAAGTAGTCTCATCGAATTAACTAAGCGTTGGCTTTCTTTAAGTGTTCCAAATTTGGTTCCTTGATTAATTTTCAGGGTTAATTGTCAGTGTCAATATAAACATTTAAATGAAAGCATTTGTTATCCAAACGGGTGTCAATTTATAGTTTGACAGGGAGAGGATAAAAGAAAGAGAACAAAGCAAGAGGGGCGATTAATCGGATTAATCGAGAGAAGCGATTAATCGAGGGAGGGCTATTATTGGAGGAAATACAGTAATTCAACTTTTCTTTAAAGTACAAAAAAAATCGACGTCGATCTTTCAATAGTTATTGGACAAATGATCATCAATTTAGCATTTAAGCCAGTGAAAAGCGGAGAAACATTTTAATAATAGCTCCGGTTGTCTATAATGCACAGTATTTCAGTATTGTCGGAATCGTATTCAAAGAAGCGTTTGGAACAAACAAACACATTCAGCAATTTCTCAATATTTTGTTGTTTTGTTTCAGTTGCTGGATGTCTTCTTCTAGTAATCTGATTTGGATATTCGTGTCATTTGTCGTAGCAGTGGAAATAGTAAGTGAAACTTATTCCCAAGTATCGGCCAAAAATTAAGACCTCCATAAATTCCTGATTTCAAGGTTCATCCATTGCCTTGTCACTCAATCCTCGCCTGGGGCTCTGGTGGGTGTATCCTCACCTTTGCTGAGATAATTCTCTCTTGCACCTGCAGTTTCAAAGCTTTATGTGCTTTAATTAAATAAAAGGCCTTACCCCTAAATGGATTCGTCATTTTTTGGTCTCCCAGCGAACTTGACTTCATACTCATTCTGTAAAAGGAAGCATAAGACTTGTTGTATTCTGTTGTGTGTTGTTCTTATCCTCACGTTTTTAAGAAATAAGTGTTTTTTTTTCCAGATAAACCTTTTTATCCTGGTACGCGTTATCAAGGAAATTACGACAATGCAACAAGCAAAAGACAACCATTCTGAACAAATAAGGTAATAAGAATGTTATTTTAGCAGGATTTCGTTTAGGCTAAATAGACGTTCCGTTCTGATCAGCGCAAGATTGAATACTCTGTAATTTTTGTAGGCTTGGCATTAGAGCATGCGTGGTACTTTTGCCTTTACTTGGGGTCACGTGGCTCTTTGGCGCACTTTCTTCAACGCACAAAGCCTTTGTCTACATTTTCGTCATCGTCAACTCCACTCAGGTGAATTAAATTTTGATTTTAAACCGTTTTCTGAATTGTATAAACTCCAACCCCACTTTACGTTTGTTTAAGTGGTCAGTTGTCTTCGTTTCTGCGGAAAGCCCCTTCATTTTCTCTAAATTCCTCCCGCTTATTACCGAACCAGTCTAATTGACAGAATTCTCAAAGACAGTAAATCTCACTAATAAGGAAACTTTATTGTCAACGGTGTTCGGTAATATCATTACTTCTTATGAAAGTAAAAAAAAATCTTCGTATAATAGTAGCAGACGAGTCATAAGATCAAGTCAAGACATCAATTCTGACTGTTTTGGCAGCAATTGAGCTGGCAGAGTACTGTCTTTGATTAAGAAATATGTAAATGAGCAACTTTCCACGGGCATTAAGTTCGCGGAAAAATAACTTTGTGTAAGTTAAAGTTATGTCTTCTTTGATGATTGTAATATCCCGTTATATTTTCCTTTACTGAATTTTTATCCAATAAACAGTTTAGTTTTTACTTAAGTGACATGACTGATATGGGGACTTTCTGTTGTCGCCTCTGTGTTGGTATTAACGGGGTTCGACTAAATTTGTAATAATGACTTTTTCAAAACCACAAGACACGTTTGACGAGTAAATAATCTTTTCTTGTAGACATATTAAATTCTGCAAGTAGAATACTGCAATGCTAACCGTACCACGTGAAATTAACTCTGCAAGACATCAACACGACACCGAAAGAACTCAAAACAGAGCGGGATTGTAGTCATAGACAGCTGTTTCGCCCTTTTTGGGGCTCGTCAGTATGGCGCAACAACCAGAGAAAGCTCTGATGAAAAATATCCGCGCACTTTGACTTTAAGCCCTGACCCAGAACTCTTAACACCCACAGAATCACGTCATACCGCGTGTCTTCTGGGGGGCAAGAGTCCAAGTGTCAAGTTGATGTCTCGCAGAGAAAATAAAGAATTGGCCAAAACCAACCTAAAAAAAAGCAAGAATTACAGCATATCGGATCTATAAAAGATCTACGGCCCAAAAATTCATAAAGTGCAAACATTAACCACAAAGGACTGCAAAGGACCGCAAACGAATATGTCGAAGAACGTAGGATTTATAAAGACCTGATCAGCAAAAATAATAATGTAGACATATTAAATTCTGCAAGCAGAAAACTGCAATGCTGATCGTACTACGTTCTTCGGCATATTCGTTTGCGGTCCTTTGCAGTCCTTTGTGGTTAATGTTTGCACAATCTTTTCTTGTTTTTCAGGGTTTCTTTATCTTTGTTTTCCATTGTCTTAGAAACAGTGAGGTATGTACAACTTTTGGAATCGAACACCCTTGCAGTATCGAATAGCACTAATCCCTAAAGCCTGGTTTTCACTAGCGCATAAGCATAAGCATAAGCACAAGCATAAGCACAAGGCCGTGGCCCAATCATAGGTCACTTTGACCCAGACCTCATGCAAACATATGAAAAGCCGTATGACGGACGCTTCGTCCGCCATCTTGTTTATCATTGGGTTGAGGAGAGCTGGTATCGAAAATTGAGTCAAATATGCCATTCTGTGCGTGCGTGCGTAAGTACTACAAGTTTTCCCGCGCAATGATCGGGTGCCATTGCCAGATAATGACTAGCAACACGCAAGTGATCGGAGTAGAAAAATTTTTCACTAAGGTGTCAGTTACACGCTGCGAAAATTTAATATACTTTTATTACTATGTTCATACGTATTTGATAAGGGCGTCCACAATATATTGGTAGTATATGTCTGTAGGCTAATTCTTTTATTGCTCTACAACTGTGATGGGGAAGATGACTTAGTATAGACCTTTTTAAGCTTTTTTAGCTTTTATGTTTTGTTTTCCCAAAACAGGTTATGTAATAATACCCGAGGGGACTGCTTCTTTCAAATTTCGTTTATGTACGCATATGAACGCATGTGCAAATGTACGACAAAGGGTCAAATTCCCCTGGGACCTCAATAGGAAAACAAAACATAAAAGCTAAGGGGTCTATTTCCATGGTAATCACTTTTTGTCTACAGATCAGGGAGAGGTTCAAAAAAAGAGTCAGACTGGTTCATCCAGTTGCAAGTGATGGCACCAGCGTTTATAAAAGGCAGTCGGAGATTAAAGACAGTAGTGGAGCCATCTTTCTCAGAAAGATTGATTTAAAGACAAACAGCACTGGCGCTTTAGACAAAACTACTTTTTGAATCCCCCAATGCGACTGGGTGGGTTGGGTGAGTTGAGATTAAACGTGGTGACCTCGCCTCCCTTTGTCTCCTTGGACCCAACATTGGCTTTCAAATGTCGTTACAATGTCGAACAATATTGGCAACTGTACATAACAATGTTTTTCATGACGTGACAACGTTAAGACAGTGAAGCACCCACTGTTTGACCTGCCCTTAAACCTTTGTATACTAACAGAACAATGTAGAAAAAGATGCAGTTTAAGATTTTAAACGAATTCTACTTCATACAAACAAGAGACAGAGAAACTATCGATGCAAGCAGTGCTGACTAAGTGTAGTTTGTGCTTCAGGAGCTGGGCACTTAGGTCCGTTGCGTAAGTCCCCGCACCCTGTTCAGTATTAAGATTCTAGCTTAGAGCTTTCAAAGTACTACAATAAAACTATAACTTAGCGAAACAAAATGGATTTGTTTAATGGTGGAATCCACAGTACAGCAGTGAGCCATTCGATAACCAAATACTTCATAAAACAACCACAATTGCATTAACCATAGTCATGTTGACAACTAGTGTTGCAACTTATACAGTGGAACCTCTATACAACGAAGGTTCAAGGCACCTGCAGAATAAGTTCGCTATAAAGAGGTTATGTTAAATCGAGATTCTTTTTCATAAATTGTATTATTTCTGAGGCGAAGAAAATCGTTCGTTGTAGCTAGGGTTTCATTACATAGAGGTTTGTTATATCGAGGTTCCACTGTATAAACATGTGGCGTGCGCCACTTTCGATCCATGACTGGCCAAAAAGATCGTAGCTTCTGGGACAAGAGTGTTTGCTACCCACATGCAATGTTCTGCTCATGCAGGAAGAAACAAAAACTGTTTTAATACAGATAACCCATTGTTTTTGTGCTGTTCGTGTATATTTTTCTTCATTTTTTTTGTGTTAACTGTGACATATTTCTAAAAACGCTGGAAACAAACAACAGTAAAACAAAACAAACGCAAGCACACTAGTTAAATAATTGTAGTGCTAGCTGATTTGGCGAAATATCAATATCTGTCATTGCCTTGCAGTTAGTTGTCTCTGTATAAGCAAATACTTCATGTGCTTACAATGAAATTCTTCTTAATCTTTTCCAAACTATTGTGAATTAATTATTCAAAATATTTCCTCGTTTGCGATTAGCCTAAATTCCCTTACTAGATCTTCATGACCAGATGAGTTGTTGACCAAATTTAACATAATAATAATTTAAAAATGACGTCAATTGTATAAATAATAAACAGAAAAGGGGACAGCAGAATGCGCGGCTGTGGATGAACTGTTTTGGCATAGCAGAGCTCAGTGGAGAAACTGGCAGACGATTTCACTCCTTAAGTTGAAGAAGAAATAGCTGAGATACTTCCTAGAAACATAGGCAAGAGCAGCAAAAATACCACTTACTCGACGAATGGCAACTGCTATTTGACGACTGTCTGCTGGAATAAACTACAGAGGAACAGGTAAATGCTATGAAGGCGACAGCCTGACATATATCGATTCAGGTCAGTACGAAGCCATTTTTTGGTGATGGAAATATTCTGAATGGTAACACCTTTGTCATGAAAGACCACTATTATTGGATTCGGATTTTCTATTCATAATTCTTTATGTCATACTCAGCTTTGTCCAATAATTGCTGTGTAAAACACGCGCACACATACACCCACACACCCACATTTTACACGAAAAACGTGGTAGAGGTAGAGGTAGAGTTGTTTATTCAGAACCCCTTGCAGCTAAGAGCTGGATAAAAGGATCGTGGGCAAATTAAACATAATTAACATTTATCGTATGACAAAAAATCTAAATAATTCACAGATACAAATTCTGACAATCTTTTTGTCTTACACATTTTGTTATTATAGTTCCGACAGCGTCGTAACGAGTAAGAGTGAACGGTAATTATACCCTTGCATTCATAGCAAGGCCAAACACAGGGTTGGATGGTTTTAAATTACGCATTAATGATTCGCAAGCAGCACCCCTACGGTCTTCTAAAGACGGCAGGACACTTAGTATCAATGCCTCGTCATAATGTAAATTCGGAAGAATTATCTTAAGGGCTCCCTGGTCAATAAGAGCCTCCCTTTTCTTGTTTTAAAAATATGGGTTGCTTTGCAGGAATTCAGTTAAAGACAGGAGTTCGACTATGAAAACACAGTTGTGTCTTCGATGCGGCTTATGGTCATCTTTTGGTCGAATGCATTTCGCAGTTACGTAGTTGCGCCAAATTTCATTTACCTACAACCCTTCACTTGACAGCTAACGAACTGAGAAAGTGAAGCTTTTATCCGCAAAGTTTAACCAGACAATTATCTTTATAGACTTTTTGATTGTTGCTATTAATTTTGATGTTATTTACGGCTACCCGATTTATAGCTCACTCGAAAAAGTGACGGTAACCTGCTCGGACAGGAGGCCGTAGGTCCTAAAAACCTGGTTACGTAGTTAATGGTGTCTGTTACCCTGGGTACCAGAGGTTTGTCTGGCGTGCGGCGGGAATTTTCGGTGTGGGTCGAAGGCCAAGACATCTTCGGCCGTAGGCCCGGAGCCAGAAAAGTCTCTGTCACCCAGGGTAGGTATCTGTGAAAAATCCGCTCTAAGTGCAGACTATCGTGTCATTGGCCGAGAACATTAAGCCGTTGGCTTTTTTTAAAAAAAAAAAACCCGCGGCATTGTTCGAAACGAGTAGGGGAAGTATTTGTGCCGATGTCTTCTATCTGACTTGTTGCAGTTTTGGGTATGGGTAGGCGAGATGAGATCAAACATGAACTGAAGCTGCTACATAGTGCGCCCTTACTTGCTGACATCCAATCTCATCTGTCAAGACTCTTCTAAATTCAGCCACTAGCTGCAAGAGGGGAAAACTGCACCGTTCCGTTTCCTTTCGACAACCCTTTCACTGTTATTTAGAATACTTTCGAATACTTGCTAACAAAATGGTTCCTAAACAGCTGTTGTCACATACATAAACACTTGTATAGTAGCATAAGCTTTCTTTTTGGGCACTTCTTGTTTGTAGCACAAACAATAATTGTGTATATGAGGAAAACCTTGTCTTGTCAACATTTCACTACCGTAACGATGTTGATGAGAATTCGGTTTGAACATGGGTCGAGAACATCGTCTCTCAAATGTCTCGACAATGCGAGACAATGTTGTAACAGTGTTGTAAACATCGTGACACTGTTGGGACAATGCAACACCCCCTACATGTTTAACCGGCCTATAATCCTTTGTATAGAAAAAGAGACAATTGAAGTTTTTTCAGCGAATTTTATTCCAGACGAATAAGCCTAGACACAAAGTAAGCATTCACGAGTGCAATGCTGGCCAGTTAAAATTTGTTTCTGGGGCCTGCAGGGACTTGGGTCCGTTACGTAAGTCCACGAGACCTGTAATGAATTACTTTTACCATGTTTACAATAAACCTATCACTTAACGTCAAACGCTTCAAGGAGTGCTCCATTCGATGTCCAAATACTTGATGAAACTCTTACATATGATTATACTTTACACAGAGACAAGCAGTGCAATAAACATGAAATATGAGATTGAATAATAACAACATTATTGATTTCGGCTTTTGAATGCATAATACTTCATATCATACTCAGCCTCATCCAATAATTGCAAAGAAAGACACCTTCACACCATTTTACATGAAAAAAGTGGTAAGCAATGTTATAAACATGAAAACATTTACGTGGATAGAAGTCGCGTTCTCAGTAGGAGTCATCGGACTGCTGTCATCTGTGTCATCCTCTTCACTCACTTCTAAGTATGGGTCAAAGATGACGGTTCTGTTAAACTTGTTGCATCGGAAGATGAACCTGTTTTTGCTGCCTTGCGTCACGAACCTGGGGTATCCCATAGGCATCTTTACATTCTCGCCGTCATTTTTGCACTAAAATATCAGTAAATGAATCTCGTCAGAGGCGACAATAAATGTAAAAACTCTATTTACTGATTAATAAAGTGATTTTTCTTTGTAAAAATAGGTCTAATCTCCCATTAATGGATGTTCATAAAAAGGAACGTTTCTAAGGTAACGCTACACCACAGCAATTCTTATTAAATTGTACTGCTTATACAATATGAATTTAGTTAAATTAGCATTTACAGCAGATTTTGAACCTGGTAACGTGGTGTGGCCACTAACAATGCCCTTGTCGTTGAGTGCACGATACCATACATTTAAAGGTAGCTTTACCTTTAAAAAGGTCGCAACGCACTTAACCTGGTCTGTTCCGTAGCCGCTCTTTGTGTCGTCACGTAGCGCGCCTCCTCCCGTAACGTAAACGTGGTACGAACACCTAGAAAATGGAAGCTGAAACCTGAATGGATGATTTGCGGAAATGAATGTGGTTCGATTAGCAGCCGTTTGTGGGGAGGAGCCTTCCGAGACGACACAAAGAACGGCTGTGAAGCAGATTATACTAAACCACGTTGTTCACGGTTTTTCTAGTTTTCGTTTGAAAAGGTTTTCCTTTTTTCCCCTCTTTTCTTAAATAATAGTGAGTAGCGCGTTAAAGTAGCCTACCCAGAACAGTCTCATAGTACAATTAGACACAAGATCTGCTCAACTGTCAATCAAAACTTAAAAATTGGCGCGGCTATCGAAGCTCGATCACGACTGATGTTGTGCACGTGAAACAAATGTTCTTTTCTTACCTCTTTGGACAATCCGATAGTGTCGTTGCCAATACTGTAAGTTTCGAGGCATCTATCCTTAGTTACAGGACATCGAAATCCTTTGGGTCTTTTGGCAGTTGGAAGGCGGTCCTCCCGTTTCTTTCTATCGGCCTCATTCTCCCGTTTTGGCGTTTCCCCCTTTTTGCCTTTCACAACAATTGCCACCTCAAGGTATTTTCCAGTTTCGTTTGCTTTGCAGATGGAAGGTATAGCTTGTCCATCGCAGAAAGTGTAGTTTTTAATCTACAAAATGAATTGTTGGAATATTCTGTGGTTATTATATAAG